TTTCTGTCTGCCCCTTTCTTATTCTGAACTAGTTGTATCCAGGATGCGGTGGGAAGAATTTTATGTGCAGCCCGCAAACATAACCCTTGAAGATGTTTTACTGAGTGCTGTCAGCAATGCTGGTGTACAGTGAAAAGAATGGGGCAGTTATTTCAAGGTTTTAAAATATCTGTCAAAAAGATCATTTCAGTTATTTTAATTTTTGTCTTCCAAAAACACGTTGCTAGACAGTAGGATGTGAGCAGTTTCTCGAGTTCTTTCATGGCTTTTCACTTAGTAATATGTCAGCATGCTTCTGATATTAACTTGAATTGTGATATGGATGCCTTAGCTATTCAAGAGAGCCTTCCTTTTTCTTCAGTATGTCGGCTGGATAGTTTTAAGAGCGCAGTTGCACGTGTTTTCATAGAGTAGACTAACTCCTCCCGTTTCCCTCCCATTTGTGTCTGTCAGATTCCGGGTGGCTTTAGTGAAGACTCTTGTGTTTTGCGTGGAATCATGGTGAATAAAGATGTAACTCATCCCAGGATGCGTCGCCTTATCAAGAATCCACGCATTGTCCTTCTGGATTGCTCGTTAGAGTACAAGAAAGGAGAGAGTCAGGCAAGTCCTGTTACAGTCATCTGCCGCTCTTGATTTAAAACTAGTAAGGTGAACAAATTCACATGACTAGTTACCAGCCTGAGTGGTGGATGTTCTCAGGTATTTTTTCTACCTTTTTCTCCATGGTACTGAGCCCACAGCAGAATTAGCGTATAGATGCAGCAGCTCCCTAAAAGACTGCATTGGGATCAGTTAGGATCACTCAAGCTGGGGGAATCTATATTTAACTCAGTGCAGGGCTGGGAGGAACAGGTTGAGATTTTGATACCTCTTTCTGTGCAGACTGATATTGAAATTACTCGGGAGGAGGACTTTGCCCGCATCCTGCAGATGGAGGAAGAGTACATTCAGCAGATCTGTGAGGATCTGATCAGAGTCAAGCCAGATCTGGTCATCACAGAAAAAGGAATCTCTGGTAATAACACTTGTAATCCTTGCTTGCGTTGAAATCGTGGCTAGTAAGGTTGATGCTGTGTTGCATGCACTGTCTAATGATTTAAAAAAAAAAAAAAGGCTTTGAATACGACCCCATTTCTTAGCTTTCTAGAAAACAGTTGTACAACACAAGTGTTAAAGTTGATTCTTGAGGTTGCCTTATGAGCGTGAACGTGTCTAATCGTATTTTGCTTTTACGACATTTGAAAACAATATCAAAACATAAATGAGGCTGAGTCTAGCAAACCGTAGGAAACTGCACTGGAATTTTGCTTTGCAGCTTGGTTTAAGAAGCAATGTTTAGGTATTTCCTTTAGGTGTTCCTGTTTAGAGACCCTTTATGGGTCTCAACCTCTAGCAAGTTTCTAGTGGTACTGCCGATTCATCCATAAAGCTGCACAAACCTTCTTTCAGACTTGGCCCAGCACTACCTGATGAGAGCCAACATCACAGCGATCCGCAGAGTGAGGAAGACGGACAACAACAGGATCGCCAGGTAAACGCTCTCTCCTTGTTGGAGCTGAGTCTTGCGGTCCTTTGCACCGAATTGTTTCATTCGTATCTCAGCCTTTCTCCCCAGCTTTTTGTGAGCGTCTAACTTGTCTGTCCTTTGGCTTGTGGCCCAAAGAGTTGTGTAACCTTGGGGGTAGGTGGACACTCAAACACGTGTGATTTTGCTGCAGCTCAGTTTCAGGAAGAGATCTTGACTGTCGTTTGTGTGCTAGGGCTTGTGGAGCTCGCATTGTGAGTCGCACAGATGAGCTGCGAGAGGAGGATGTGGGAACTGGAGCCAGGCTCTTTGAAGTTAAAAAAATAGGAGACGAGTATTTTGCCTTCATCACTGATTGCAAAGACCCCAAGGCTTGCACTATCATTCTGCGTGGAGCTAGCAAGGAAATCCTAGCAGTAAGTTAATGCATGTTCTGCTTTCCCTCCTGTCCTGGCCACCTTTTTAGTGTCAGTAAGCCCTTGCTTCCTTGTGAGGAGCTATTGTGTGTGAGTGGAGCAAGTGCCAGTTTCCTCTGGGTTCTAGAGCGAGGATTTGGAGCGACAGAGAATCCCTGTCTCGTGTGCTGTATGTAGTCAAGGCAAAACTTTTGTACCGCAGCGCGTGATGAGCTCAGCTAACCTTGGGCTATGCGATCGCCCTGTAGCTACAGTTTCTTTTGCAACCAATAAATCCGTGCTTTTGCTTTTGTCTGTTACAGGAGGTGGAGCGCAACCTTCAGGATGCCATGCAGGTGTGTCGCAACGTCCTCATCGACCCGCAGCTGGTGCCAGGAGGGGGAGCTACCGAAATGGCCGTTTCTCACGCACTGACAGAGAAGTCCAAAGGCATGACCGGTGTGGAGCAGTGGCCCTACCGGGCAGTAGCCCAGGCTCTGGAAGTCATTCCTAGAACACTGATCCAGAACTGCGGTGCTAGTACCATCCGTGTGCTGACCTCACTCAGGGTAAGGCACGCATCGAGGGATCTTCTTGAGAGATTCGGCTTCTTTGAGCCTTCTCCTACCCCTCAGATCAATCGTGCTTCTGTGTATTGTGGTGGCAGCTTGTCATACTATTGAGAGTGTAGCTTTTTCAGTTACAATAGCCTTTTTTACACTAAGGTTATTTCAAAAAGGTTTCCTTATCTGTTGGAGGTGATTAAAAGACTGCTTCTTTGAGGGGGGTTCTTTTGTATTAGGTGGGCTGCAAACATTTTACTGAAGTTTTGTACCAAAATGTGAAAACAGGAGAGGGAAATTAAATAGCTTGTTTGATGTCCCAGAGTTAAAACCTAAAGGTGAATAAAATCAAAGTCTTCAAGTTTGAGATTGGGTTGGGTAGCATGAGAGGTGAAGGGTTTAAATGGTGCTCTGTAACAAATAGTTCTGTATAAACTCTGCAGTTGAGAAAAGTCTAATGATTTCTTGCTATTTTGATGAGCACATGATCAGTTGGAGTTCCTAAAGCTGAATTTTCTGTCTTACTCTGTCAGAGATGATTCTGGAGTGAGCTGTCGCTCTGTTTACAGGCAAAACACACTCAAGAAGGCAGCCAGACGTGGGGAGTGAATGGTGAGACCGGAGCCTTAGTCGACATGAAGGACCTGGGGATCTGGGAGCCTTTAGCAGTCAAATTGCAGACCTACAAAACAGCAGTAGAGGTAAGGCAGAAACTGCTAAGTGAGCCTCTGTAGTGATCTTTCAGAGAGGGGAAAGTTACTGCCTGTGCGCTCAGGTGCTGGGGTAAGCCCTGCAAACAGTTTGTGGCGCGCGCTGGTGTGTCAGCTTGCGTCTAGCTAGCGCAGGAAGCGTTAAGGGATGCGGCACACGTGAATGACCAGAGCCCATACTGGGGCTCTCAGGGGAGTTCTGTTTTGATCCCTAGCCCATACTGAAACGTGTCATTTTCCGTCTCGCCTGTTTTTGCCAGCTGTGCTCATTAGTCTCGCAAGGATGGGCCATTCTGTGCAAGGGCTAGACTCGGCCACGGCTGAGAAGTTCAGTGTCAGCAGCATGCTGGAATCCAATTAGTGGCACTGGGAGATTCTGCACTCTGATCATCCGGCTGGCCTTATGCAAGCTGTGCTCGCCGTCTTAAAGATCACATTTTGAACACTTGGTCGCTGGTGTTAGGTCAAAGGCAGTTGCTTGAAGGGATGCTCTTGCCTTTCCTGCTGGCTGACAGGAAATACCAGTGTCTCCCCTTTCATGGGGTGTCCCAGCCATGTGCCAGAGCTGCTCACTGCTCCCACTTGGCTTTGATCGGTTTGGTGTCCTTTCAGCTGTGACATGTTTGCCACATGCTGTTCAATGGCCCTGTGGTAACGGGTCATTTAATTGGAGGCAGCTGGTTCTTTGCTGTGAAAGCCAAGTAGGTTGGATTTTATTCCTCTTCAGAATGGGCTCCTGACTAAACACTAGCTTTTAAAGTCAAGTAGGGTCCTTTAGCTGCAGTTTGGTCTAAACACAAGTCAGCATACTTCCTATGAAAGAGACTAGGTGGGAAGCTTGTGTGCGTGCAGGCCTACAAAGGAGCCAGCCAGCTCTGTACTGCCAGAAACGCTGCAGCAAGCTCCTCTCTCACCTGGATGTGGGGTTTCTCCCTAGACTGCTGTTCTCCTCCTCCGTATCGATGACATTGTTTCGGGACACAAAAAGAAAGGCGACGATCAAAGCAAGCAGCCTGCAGCTCCAGAGGCAGCCCAGGAGTAGAGGGGTCGAGTCACCCACAGGAAGAACCAGGTGCCTCAGACTCAACTGCAGGAAGAGCCCGGTGGAGCAACGCAGCTTCTCCCCTGTCCTGAGGCTGAGCCAGGTCCAAGTCCGAGAATTAGTTTGTCTAAAGTCTGTGGGTGGGGGAAAAAAGAACGTGAACGTGGCGAAAGAGCCAGTGTCACATATGTGCCCCTGTTCTGTTTGGAGACACTGATGCTTAATTTAAATCTATACTGTAACTTCTCATTGCTGTTTGCCTCAACAACAATAAAACACGTCACTTCAGTCCCTTTGTCTGCGTGTTTAGTGCAAGCGTGCTGGGGAGGACACCCTGCATCTGGGCCTGATTCCAACCGGCTCGTACTGCTCCAGTCGTTTGTTCGATGCTGTGAAGTCCTCCCCAATCCTGCTGCTGGGGAAGCTCGTGTCTGTGATCTCTGCGGCAGCCTCAGCAGGGCTTTCAGGGTGGGGATGGACCAAGCTTGAGCCCCCTCCTCTTCCTGAGATATGGAGCATGAGGTTGGAAGATAGTTGCATGAGTTAGGAAAATAGGGGCCTGGACTGAATGCTGTAGGTGCAAAAGCGGGCCGTGCCACGTCCAGCCTGCCGTTGCTGCTGCCCTGTGTGTGCCCTTCCCGTTTCGCTGGAAGGAGCGGGGAGAGTTTGGACAAGCGGCCAAATTGCTGGGTTTTGTAACCAAGATGCCATTTCCCAGCATGAATAAAAAGTGCCAGGAACAGAACAGGTTCTTGAAATGAGATGTCCCATGGGAGGGAGCGGAATGAGGTCCGGGTGCAGCTGGCAACATCTGTCCAGCTCTGCCTGCATCCAGATCAGCCGGCCAAGACATTAGTTGCGGGGTGGGTCGGTTGCTGGTTGCCAGAGGCGGGGGAGCTGGGAAGGCAGCTGTCTTCCTGCTTGGCTGCTATCGCTCCCCGTGACATTCCTTGGCCCTTGCCCGCAGGGCCGGGCTGTGGGCATCCTGCTGTAGCCAAGGGCAGCGAAACCTTCCTGGCCCGCAGGTGCAAGCGGGTTGATGTGGGCTGAGTTGCCGCTCGGGCTGCAGCCGGGTGCCCCGGGGAAGGGGTCTGCGCTGGGGGGCTTCGCCCTCGGCGGGGCCACCCC